CTTATAACTATCAATAGGCTGCCACAACTCTTTTCACTCACTCCCTCACAGATAGATGAGAGGGGATAGAGAGGAGGAGGGAGGGGAGAGAGGAGGAGGAGGAGGAATGAGGAGAGAGGAAGGAGGGAGGAGGAGAGAGGAGGAGGGAGAGAGGGAGGAAGGAAGAGAAGGAGGGAGAGGAGGAAGGAGGGCGAGAGGAGGAGTGCAGGAGGAGGAGAGCAGGAGGAGGTAGTCTGGTCGGTGTAGTGTTGGACAAGTTTACAGCTGGTAGTCCTATCTAGTGTGCAGTTGCTTTTCTTGTGGTTGTATTTGCGCTGGATAGTCCATTACTACTGCTTGTACGACCAGAGAGATATATCCTTCTGGCCCGTCCCCATTACCTCCCTATCTTAGCCCGCTTCTCAGTTTTCAGTTGTTCTGGTTCTACTGGCGCGTCCTTCTTCTGTTCTCTCTTTGTCGCTACGCTGATGAAAACAGTCCTATTACTAGATGTGGACGTTGCTGTATGTCTTAGTGGAGTGGTAATGTATGATGCTGCTGGATGAGGTCTACAATTACATGATTGCTTTTTGTTAACACCAAATTAGAGATCATAGATAATATAGAGCTGTAATAGAACACCAGTACCCCATTAAACCCAACTATAATACCATTACAGACCCGCAGAGGTTAGTTTTCAGATGTTTACTGAGTTCCTTAATGTAGAAGATGTATTACAGCTAAATGGGTTCTAAAACCAACCCTAAGTGATTTCCAAGATCAAATATTGATATTTCCAAAGAGCCACCCTTAGTAAGCATTCTCCTCTCCTCTCCTCTCCTCTCCTCTCCTCTCCTCTCCTCTCCTCTCCTCTCCTCTCCTCTCCTCTCCTCTCCTCTCCTCTCCTCTCCTCTCCTCTCCTCCTCTCCTCTCCTGTCCTGCTCCTGTCCTGTCCTGTCCTTCCTGTCCTGTCCTGTCCTGTCCTGTCCTGTCCTGTCCTGTCCTCTCCTCCCTCTCCTCTCCTCTCCTCCTCCTCTCCTCTCCTCCTGTCCTGTCCTGTCCTGTCCTGTCCTGTCCTGTCCTGTCCTGTCCTCTCCTCTCCTCTCCTCTCCTCTCCTCTCCTCTCCTCTCCTCTCCTCTCCTCTCCTCTCCTGGACTTCCTCCGTTCAGCATTATTGTTTCCTCTCACGTCATACATACCGCAGCGGATAAAATAAAAATAATGAAAAAATAAGTAGGAAATACATTTAATTGTTCACACTGTCGCCCTCACATTGCAGTTTCAGTGCAATAGGTTGTGTGGAGTATTTATTTATCCGGAATGGCTTCTGTACACAGAGAGCACTAACAAAGCACTGGGAGAAGGGTAGCAGGCTGGCAGAGTCACAGTCTGCATCACAAATGGCACCCTATTCCCTACATAGTGCACTACTTTTGACCAGGGCCCTAGTGCAGTATGTATCAAATACGGTTCCGTTTGGGATGCAGTGCCACAGTGCAGTCTAATTGCCCGGTGGGCCGTATCAAACAGCCCGTATCAAACAGAAGTCGTTTATCTTCCTGTGGAAATGGTAAAAAGGAAATGGTATTTGGCCCTGATCCTTAATCACTGGGCCTGATGCTGCTGAGGACAAGGTCATCAGGGAGGGGCTGACTAACACTCAGAGAGGAGGGAGAGAGGTAGGGAGAGGGAAAGAGAGAGCGAGAGAGAGAGGTGCGATTCTTCCCATGCTGTGCAGTGTGATATGAGCTATGCTGGAGCCGCAGCTAAAATCTGCTTGACACACATGCTGTTCTGTACACTTGCAAGGTTGTTACTCTACATGGATGTTTAAATGACAGTTCCCAGTGTTTAGAGGTAGGGTCTTGTTACCATGTGTGGCTGTTCAAAGAGGGAAGTGAGAAGAGGGGAGGGGGGGGGGCACCCTATTCCCTAGTGCACTACTTTTGACCAGAGCCCTGGGAATAGGGTGCCTCGGTCACAGCTAATGACTCTTTAGCAGGCTCCCTCAGAAATACTGCAAACACAGCAATAATATAGTTATTTAATTTAATTGAATGGCAGGTTGTTGGAGTTCAAAGAGATACAATTTGATATTTAACTATGTTCTGGTCTTGTATTTTTAATGCTCCTCTCTCACAGACGTTATTATTGCTTCATTTTAATGCTCCTCTCTCACAGAAGTTATTATTGCTTCAAGGCTGTGATACAGAATCAATATGCTTTGCTGTGCGTTGGTCATTACGCAAGCCTCTAAGCTGAAATCTTTACTTTTCACAAATTAAACAACGAGGTCCCTTCTGAGTTCAACTCCTAATGAGCACAAACCCAAATTAAGCATATTCAATTAAGTCTCTATTCTCAAAATATGAACGTTGAAAACGCTGTAACTAACTGATGAAGAAATAACATTAAATATACTCCAGAGGCCCTGTTGTACATGATTCCTATTCCATTTCATTGGTATTGACTGTGTACCAAATGGCCCCCTAGTGCACTAATTTTGACCAGAGCCATATGAGCCCTGTTTAAAAGTAGTGCACTATGTAGGGAATAGGGTGCTATTTGGGGTGCATTCATTGGCTTGCAACAGGCTTTAGTGTGCTGTAGTAGCGTAATGTACTATAACAATTATCTGTGGGCAACAATGTGAATCATTACCCTCGTCTTCCCCATTAAGAAAGAACCAGAAAACAGCTGGGCTTAGCCAATAAAGCACTTACAATACATTTCATTATGACATCACAGACAACGCCACAGTATTACCATAATGTGTATTTATTCTGTGGCACACACGTGCACACTCGTAGGAACACGTGGACATATGCGTGCACGCACGCAGGCATACACGGACACACACACACACATATGTCAGCTAAACCAACAGCAGGCTCTAAGGGGAGGGATGGTAAGAATATGCATCAATGTGCAGCAGAGATTTGTTCTTCACATTAGGGCTTTAGATGAACTGGGCTATGAACTGTGCTGTAACTCTACCTTGGTCAAACACTGATTTACCACAACAGACACCAACAGTGCTGGGAGGCAGCGGGCTCTCTAATGTGAGGAGGGTAACCGAATACAAAGCTCCAGAACTCATTCGATACTAAAAAATATATTTTAAAGAAACAGTGCTGCCATAACATGTATTATTAGTATGTTATTATTTTTCTGAAATAGTAACAATTGAGTCAGCTGCAGTGAGTTTGTTGAGTTTTGTGTGAAACAACTGCTCAATCCAGTCAGCCAGCCGCCATATGGGATGAGAATCCTATGATCATCGACTTCCTGTTGGCTCCACTGCTGTCCTATGATCATCGACTTCCTGTTGGCTCCACTACTGTCCTATGATCATCTACTTCCTGTTGGCTCCTCTACTGTCCTATGATCATCGACTTCCTGTTGGCTCCTCTACTGTCCTATGATCATATACTTCCTGTTGGCTCCTCTACTGTCCTATGATCATCGACTTCCTGTTGGCTCCTCTACTGTCCTATGATCATATACTTCCTGTTGGCTCCTCTACTGTCCTATGATCATCTACTTCCTGTTGGCTCCTCTACTGTCCTATGATCATCTATTTCCTGTTGGCTCAACTACTGTCCTATGATCATCTACCTATAAATGTGTAATACATTGTAGCAATGTGTTATTCATTACTATGTGTTAATAAACATGAAAAGATGAGTTAATTAAACTCTCAATCATAAAGAAATTACCCTCTCTAGATTAAACTATGTACTTCATTTCAGCAGGTAGCTAACATAATGACAATTATTTCACAAACAATTATTCGCCATTAATTTCCCTCGCGCCAACAATGCTAACCCACCTAGTTGATGATGATGGACGAAAGCAATTTCACACCGACGACAACAATGCAAATAACTTTCAACCCGCCCCCTCCATGGCCCGGCTCCCTCGGGATTACAGCCTACAATCCTAATTACCCTCATACAGCTGTGTGTGTGTGTGTGTGTGTGTGTGTGTGTGTGTGTGTGTGTGTGACGTGGAGTTAATTGAGAAAGAGACGTTTATCTCCCTCGATAGAGTACATAGTTTAAAGGATTCCTTTCCCAGCTCCTGTTCCCAACCAGAGGCAATACTGTTTGATTACACATCTCCCTCACACACCGTGCACATATCATACCACACATACTTTTAATAAGACTGTCTGGTACTCATTCATGAGGTATATTGATATCTCTCTCTGTCTCTATATGATTAACACTGGGTTGTGAATATATGACAGCACAATGACTCACCCTCCTCTCCTACTTTCCTCTCCTCCCATAAGAAGGGGGGGGGGGGGGGGGGGGGGGGGGGGTAAGGAATATGAGCTAAAATCGTTAGGATTAGTCATCTTGCTTTGAGGCATAGGATCAAAGAAAGTGTAAACTGCTAAACGGAGGAGAACGTGGAAGTACAATCGCTCTGAATATATCTTCTCTGGGCAGTCTCTCCATATATATTCTCTAGGCAGAGTGAGAGCGATTCCCCACTGCTTTCAGAAATGCTGGGCTGGAGGCAACTCCCTGCATAATGTGAACGTCTTGAATTACAACCATAAGGTTGGGCTTCAGCATGATATGCACTGTACCTTTGACTACAGTTGAAGCTATTGCGTTTGTCTGGGACTTAGCTGCTTTGAGGAATTCAGACATCAAAGTTGAAGGGGAAAGATAGGCAGGCACCATCTTATGTCATCATTTTAGATGGCACTTATCTTCCATTCATTTGGGAACTCTCTCCGGTGTTAGCCCTTCTGTATATGTCTTTGGGACACAGCTGGAGCTCAATCAGCTCAGTAACTCTGGCCCCTGTGGAGCATCAGTGTCACCCTGTCTCTCTACCAGACATACTCCCTCTGGGACAGACAGATCACAGATCACTGGACATTTTCATCACCCCCATCCCTCCTCTATACCTGCCCACCCTGTCCCAACCCGGGCCTCCAGGCCTCCCTGAGATCCAGTCCTGAGTAGAGAGAAAATCTATCTCCCACAGAGACTATCATTAATTAAGCGTGTGATTGGCTCTCTACCTGCTTCCCCGACACGAAAGACCCGATGACTCGGAATCGACAGGACTCCTATATAGAGAGAGCATAGAGAGAGAGATAGATTTCTATCTAGCTCTCTCTCTATCTCTCTCTCTCTCTCTCTCTCTCTCTCTCTCTCTCTCTCTCTCTCTCTCTCGCTCTCTCTCTCTCTCTCTCGATCCACAGATGAAATGTGATCCAACACCTCGTGGGACCTGGAGGGCATGTAGTGCCAGACAGTGTCAGAAAGACTGACCAAAATAGCCCCAATTCAGTCTCTCCCTTTTAATTTCTATTCTCTTTCTCTTTCTCTTTCTGTCTGTCTTTCTTTCTGTCTCTCTCTCTCTCTCTCTCTCTCTCTCTCTCTCTCTCTCTCTCTCTCTCTCTCTCTCTCTTAATCTCACATACACTCACAGCCAGGGACCTAGCAAGCCTCTGCAGCATCACAATGTGCCAACTGCCAACCTTTAGAGGTTCACTCCTCACCTCTTGTCTCTTAGCTCTCACGCCACATAGTTGACTGTCTACCAGGGAACTGTAAACCACAGCCCCGGAAAATGAATTCAGAACACTGTGACACACCACTGTGAATCAAAATGGCTACAGCCCTTGGACTTGAAGACAAGTAACTTCAAATAGTCAAGAATACAACTTATTTGGAGCTCCTGCAGACGTTAGGGGTAAACTGAGATAGTTAGAGAGAGACTACTGTAAGTTACCCCATGCCAATGGAAATCAGTCTGGCCAATAAGCATTAAAATCAACTTGACTTGCAAACCTGGTATGCTAGGCACATTTGTTCATTTGTATGCTTGGTATCAGAGTCATCTATGAAAAGATATGGTCTCATAAAGACGTCCTTTATTACCTGTTATTGTGATACGGATAGCCTTGTGATAGTCTGTGATATAAAACACTTTTTTTCTCTGTAATAATATTGGGTATCCTATTTTCCACGGTGACCTTGTTGATATAGCAGGCAGGCAGGGGAGACAGGCAGGGGAGACAGGCAGGGGAGACATGCAGGGGAGACAGGCAGGGGAGACAGGCAGGGGAGACAGGCAGGGGAGACAGGCATGAGAGACAGGCAGGGAAGACAGGCAGGGGAAACAGGCAGGGGAGACAGGCACGGGAGACAGGCACGAGAGACAGGCAAGGGAGACAGGCATTAGAGACAGGCAGGGGAGACAGGCAGGGGAGACGGGCATGAGAGACAGGCAGGGGAGACAGGCAGGGGAGACAGGCAGGGGAGACAGGCAGGGGAGACAGGCAGGAGAGACAGGCAGGGGAGACAGGCAGGGGAGACAGGCAGGGGAGACAGGCATGAGAGACAGGCAGGGGAGACAGGCAGGGGAGACAGGCATGAGAGACAGGCAGTGAAGACAGGCAGGGGAGACAGGCAGGTGAGCCAGGCAGGGGAGACAGGCATGAGAGACAGGCAGGGGAGACAGGCAGGGGAGACGGGCATGTTAGACAGGCAGGGGAGACAGGCAGGGGAGACAGGCAGGGGAGACAGGCAGGGGAGACAGGCAGGGGAGACAGGCATGAGAGACAGGCAGGGGAGACAGGCAGGGGAGACAGGCAGGGGAGACAGGCAGGGGAGACAGGCGGGGGAGACAGGCGGGGGAGACAGGCGGGGGAGACAAATGGATCTTAATCAGCAGGATGCCACCGCCATAAAGTGTGTGTGTGTGTGTGTGTGTGTGGTGTGTGTGTGTGTGTGTGTGTGTGTGTGTGTGTGTGTGTGTGTGTGTGTGTGTGTGTGTGTGTGTGTGTGTGTGTGTGTGTGTGTGTGTGTGTGTGTGTGTGTGTGTGTGTGTGTGTGTGTGTGTGGACGTGTTTAACTATTCTTGTGGGGAACAGAAGTCTCCACAAGAATACTAAACGAACAGCAATTTTACAAACTGGGGACATTTTGTTAGTCTCCACGAGGTCAAACGCTATTTCTAGAGGGTTTAGGGTTAAGGTTATAATTAGTGTTAGGGTTAGATTTATGTTAAGGGTTAGGGTTAGGAGCTTGGGTTAGTTTTAGGGTTAGGGTTGGGAGCTAGGGTTAGGTTTAGGTTAAGGTTTAGGGTTAAGGTTAGGTATTTGGGTTAAGGTTAGGGTTAGGAAAATAGGATTTTGAATGGGACTGAATTGTGTGTCCCCACAAGGTTAGCTGTACAAGACTGTGTGTGTGTGTGTGTGACCACACTATTCCCTTCATCCAGACCACACTATTCCCTTCATCCAGACCACACTATTCCCTTCATCCAGACCACACTATTCCCTTCATCCAGACCACACTATTCCCTTCATCCAGACCACACTATTCCCTTCATCCAGACCACACTACTCGACCCCACTATTCCCTTCATCCAGACCACACTATTCCCTTCATACAGACCACACTATTCCCTTCATCCAGACCACACTATTCCCTTCATCCAGACCACACTATTCCCTTCATCCAGACCACACTATTCCCTTTGCCTCCCTCTATCTCTATGCATGTGCTCCCTGCAACAGGCAGTGATGACACTAGTGGTCATCATTATTGAGGCGCTGGACAATATGTTTGAAGGTGTGAGGCACATAACAGTGCTGGTGTCTGTTTCTTTGCCCTGTTGCTCCGGGGCTGTTGGGATGGTTTTAATATGAACACTGCCAATTCAATCTGTTCTACAAGCGTCAACACAACGCTCAGCGTGATTACTTTCTTGGCAAGCGGATGCTGCCTGTAATCCATGGCTTCTGGTTGGGGTATGTACGTACGGTCACTGTGGGGACGACGTCATCGATGCACTTACTGATGAAGCCAGTGACTGATGTGGTGTACTCCTTAATGCCATCGGAAGAATACCGGAACATATTCCAGTCTGTGCTAGCAAAACAGTCCTGTAGCTTAGCATCTGCGTCATCTGACCACTGTGAAACATATATCCAATAATCTGCCACTGTGAAAAATATAACCAATCCTCTGCCACTGTGAAACATATATCCAACAATCTGCCACTGTGAAAAATATATCCAATAATCTGCCACTGTGAAAAATATATCCAATCCTCTGCCACTGTGAAACATATATCCAATCCTCTGCCACTGTGAAACATATATCCAATCCCTGATAAACCAAGCAAGGAGAAGAGTTCAAATCCCCAAACCTGGCAAGTAAAGGAAGCACTTAAACCATGAGACGCATGGTGGGCAGCAGTAGTCATGTGGACAATAGTAATTGAAACAGAACTAAAACCCTTATTCAAGAGGCCAATACCTACTTGACTGTCTACTTGATATAATACTACTAATCCTCTTAGTACAGTGTATTCGGAAAGTATTCAGACCCCTTGACATTTTCAACATTCTGTTACATTACAGCCTTATTCTAAAAAGGATTAAATTGTTCCCCCCCACCCCCCCTCATCAATCTACACATAGTACCCCATAATGACAAAGCAAATACTTTTTTTGGGGGGGGGGCTGCAATTTGAATAAAAATACAAAACTTAAATATCACATTTACATAGGTATTCAGACCCTTTACTCAGTACTTTGTTGAAGCACCTTTGGCAGTGATTACAGCCTCAGTCTTTTTGGGTATGACGCTACAAGCTTGGCACACCTGTATTTGGGGAGTTTCTCCTATTCTTCTCTGCAGATCCTCTCAAGCTCGGTCAGGCTGGATGGGGAGCGTTGCTGCACAGCTATTTTCAGGTCTCACCAGAGATGTTCGATTGGGTTCAAGTCCGGGCTCTGGCTGGACCACTCAAGGACATTCAGAGACTTGTCCTGAAGCCACTCCTGCGTTGTCTTGGATGTGTGTTAAGGTCGTTGTCCTGTTGGAAGGTGAACCTTCACCCTAGTCTGAGGTCATGAGCGCTCTGGAGCAGGTTTTCATCAAGGATCTCTATGTACTTTGCTCCGTTCATCTTTGCCTCAATCCTGACTAGTCTCCCAGTCCCTGCCGCTGAAAAACATCCCCAGAGCATGATGCTGCCACCACCATGCTTCACCGTAGGGTTGGTGCCAGCTTTCCTCCAGACGTGTCAATTGGCATTCAGACCAAAGAGTTAAATCTTGGTTTCATCAGACCAGAGAATCTTGTTTCTCATGGTCTGGGAGTCCTTTAGGTGCTTTTTGGCAAACTCCAAGCGTCATGTGCCTTTTACTGAGGAGTGGCTTTAGTTTGGCCACACTACCATAAATCCTGATTGGTGGAGTGCTGCAGAGATGGTTGTCCTTCTGGAAGGTTCTCCCATCTCCACAGAGGAACTTTGATGCTCTGTCAGAGTGACCATCGGGTTATTGGTCACCTCCCTGACCAAGGCCCTTCTCCCCCGATTGCTCAGTTCGGCCGGGTGGCCAGCTCTAGGAAGAGTCTTGGTAGTTCCAAACTTCTTCCATTTAAGAATGATGGAGGCCACTGTGATCTTGGGGACCTTCAATGCTGCAGAAATGTTTTGGTACCCTTCCCCAGATCTGTGCCTCGACACAATCCTGTCTCGGAGCTCCTTGGATAATTCCTTCAACCTCATGGCTTGATTTTTGCTCTGACATGCATTGTCAACTGTCGGACCCTATATAGACAGGTGTGTGCCTTTCCAAATCATGTCCAATCAATTGACCTTACCAAAGGTGGACTCAAATCAAGTTGTAGAAACATCTCAAGGATGATCAATGGAAACAGGATGCACTTGAGATCAATTTCGAGTCTCATAAAAAAAAGGTTCTGAATACTTATGTAAATAAGGTACTTCTATTTTATTTTACATTTTAGTCATTTTAGCAGACACTCTTATCCAGAGCGACTTACAGTTAGTGAGTGCGTACATTTTTTATATTTTTTTATATTTGTAATAAATGAGCAAACATTTCAAAAAACCTGTTTTCGCATTGTTATTATGGGGTATTGTGTGTAGATTGAGGAGGGAAAAAAATAATTGTATCCATTTTAGAATAAGGCTGTAACGTAACAAAATGTGGAAAAAGTCTGAATACTTTCCGAATGCACTGTATGTCCAACAGGTAACATGGTGTAACATCACACATTTCCCTCCGCTCATCTTTCACACATATGTCCATTTCCTCCCTCCCTGATCAATTACCTTTCCATTCCATCCCTCCCTCTTCCCTTTCACCCCCCCCATCTTCCCCTACACCTACCTGAATAGTGGGTGGGGAGCGCTGCTTCCTCGTCGTGGTCGTAGACAGAGTCGTAGTGGTCTCTATGAAGGTGGTGGACATCTCAGGTGGCACAGAGGTGGTGGTGCGGGCAGCGCCCCTACTGGTGGGCATGTCACCCACCAATCGGACGCTCCCGTTCACCTTGATGTTTGGCGTGGCCTTCGGCGGCCATGTTGAGGACCTTAGAATAGGATAGGATAAACTATAGAATTAGAATGAGCTTTTACTTCCAGCTTTAATCATATCACACTCAAAATGGCTGCCAGTCCATTATGGCATCTCCAGCTGGAGTAGATTTCTTTATACTTTTATTTATTAAATCAATCAATGAATCATACCTTTAGTCCGTTGTAGTAGAGGCCGGACAGCTGGCCCTGGTAGGGGCGTTTACGGTCGTTACCGCCTATAGAGATGGCAGCCTGGGTGTTGAAGATGGTGAGCTGCCGGCCTGAGAGGAGAGGGGAGGGGAACAACAGTGAGGACACCATTACAATGCACTTAAGTTGGTTGTACTTTGATCCGTTTAAGTAGTCTACACTCATAATGTCCAAACGTTGGTTTTACTGCAATTATAATGCTTAACCTAAGCACTGGAAGTTAGCGTACGCTAAGGTGTGATGGGGCAATACATCTAGACTGTTGCATATTTAACGTGTCAATGCTTGAATTGTATCTGTATCAGACCTGGGTTCAAATACTATTTAAAATATCTCACTTACTTTCACATACATTTGAGGTAAGTATTCAGATATACTTTACTTGAAAAGACAAGTAGTTGAATATTTTAAGGTATTTCGAAATACACTTGGAAAGTATCTGAAAATACTGAAATACACTCCCATGCACTTAACCCATGTATTTGAAAATAGTATTTGAAAGAATTATTTGAAAATACTCTCAAATACAATTTGGTATACTTTTTTATTTTATTTTTTACAAATAACCATTCAAATACTCAAATAAAAGTACTTGCTTTGGGCAGTGTATTTGAAAATACACAAATACACACAAAAAAAAGTATATTAAATACCAGATACTCAAATAGACATGTATTTGAACACAGGTCTGATCTGTTTGTAAATAAACCGTTGAAAATAAGGTCAGTTAAGTGTGATTGGAAAAGGTCTTTGACACATGAAAACATAGCCATTCACTGCATTTGCGATCCCCTGAACAACACAATATAATCATGCAGTTCAATTATTTAAAATAAAACGAGTAAGACCTTTGTGTTGTAATATAATGTGATTCAAAGCAACTAATAGACTGTCGTACATGTCATGAAATCCACTGTAAACTTCATTAAACGGGAGTTAAACATCGCAGTCAAAACACATTGCTCATGCATTAGTTCTGAATGAAATATACAAATAACACTTGGAATACAGGGGAATCTTAATTGGAAATCTAATTTATATAACACACACACACACACACACAGCACTGCAGGCTCATTGCATTTGTCACAAACACAATTACAATACATTGGGCATGAAATGAAAAGGGAAATAAATCTCATATCATCGTAACATAAAAATAAATGTTATGTTGATTCGTGCATGTAGTACAACTAATAGGATCAGAAACTGCTTTGTGTTTTTAGAAGTTGTTAAAGGGACTTTATAATCATCTTAACAAAGTTTAGGCAATTCACTTTAGATGTAGTTAATAATGATATTATGTCAAGCAGGAAATTTAGAAAGAGGCAGAATATATCGGGAGCACAATTCTCCATTACACCTCTCCATCGTAATAAACAGTAGCGAGTTAGCGACGAGATAATGAACAGTAAAAGACTGTGTGGAATGAAAGCAGACCATTTCATTCCAGAATTTCTATTTCATTGCAGTCTATTTCATGGCAGGCTACACAGTGGCTCATGTTAGTGCTGAGTAGAGTTAGAACAAAAAGTCACCAATTGTATCGCTGTCACCAAAACAAGAGGGATGCTTCAGGTTGGATGTGTCAAACTACTGTCGTAGGAATAAGACTTCAAACGTAGAGCCCGGAAGTTAGTTTAGAGCTCCAACTCAAACAAATATACACTTTTAAGATTGTCCACAAATATTATTTGATCTTTTAGCAGGGAGATTTGTGTTTCTTTTAGCAAAGTACAACTATTGGTTGTAAGGATTGCGACATCCGATTATATCATGTATTGTTTGTGGATTACACCAGTCCCTTTAATAACTGGTTAGCTTCAATAATTCAAAATTCTAACTGAATTCAAACATGATGACAAAAGGGAATGGTAAAAAAATAAAATAAATTAAAAACGAACAAAATACAGTAAATTTAGTTTAATTATGGTTTAAAGGGTTTAAAAGGGAATTGTTGTGGATCCATTCTAGAAGGATTGAGGGGAAACAAGCCAATGACATGACAAGAAAATAAAAACATTCCAGAATATTCTAGAAGATCTGGTAAAAGGTTTACCTTTCTCCTGCAGCCAATCTTCTACCGGCCTCTTATAATTGAATGGGATTTTCTTATTACCCATTTGATAGCGCTCAACGTCGCTTGGTCCTTTAAAGTTTGAAAGTTTAGAAAAAAACTTAAAACAGTCGGCAAAAGCAACTGTCAAACAATCATCATTCACATTTAGACACCGATTTAGAAAAGTTGTTTAGCCTTGTTTATAAAGAAAAGTAAAAAATCGTTATGCGTAATTTCAATATAAATGTTTAGTTGTTTAATTTAGAAAAGATGGTAAGATAGGATCTTTGAGCAAATTGGACAGTCAATGGTCTACTTGAGCAAAGCTTGGTTTCCAATATTGTCTAACAAATAAATATAGACAACAATCCGGTAAAACCAAGTCAATGAGAGCAGAACACATAAAGAATCTGGACAAATCATTCAATCGTGTGTGCATTCATGTGTGTTGAACAATACATTGCACATTTAAATTGACATAAAACCTGAATCCATTAAAACCTTAATAGACGAGAAGGGAAAAAGATCACTTTGTTAAATAGGTTTGCATGTCTCAACAGCACTACTCAGGGACAGATAAATCAGATGTGATTTAGAATCACTTTTCCCACTGGACACCACCTGAACACTTGAGTTGTGTCCCCAATGGCACCCTATTCCCTATATAGTGAACTACTTTTGACAAAGTACAGTGGTGCAAAAGTAGTTCACTATAAAGAGAATAGGGTTCCATTTGATACACAACCCTGCTCTTACATTTCAAGGGGCCAAGGAACAAGTCAGTTTAACAACCATTTTGGAGAGAAAGAGGGGAAATAGGTAGCGAAGGAGTGAAATAAAAGAGGTAATTTGCAGAGCTGCAAACCTGTTGGGAGAAAAGTCCCCTGATGACAGAGATTTAGGAGAACACAGCATACAGATGACGTTATTACCAGGTGGTGTAGGAGTACGAGTATGTGTGTGTGAAGGTGTGTCTCTCTGTGTGTCTGTATGTGTGTGTGCGTGGTGTGCATGTGTGTGTGCTGTTACGAGTGTAGTGTGTGTGTGTGTGTGTGTTTGTGTGTGTGTGTGTGATTACAGGCATAGTGTGAGGTCTCTCTGTTGGAGTGCTACCCTGGCTGCTGCTCTGAGACTGAAGAGAACATGTTCCAGCAGGAGGAATAACTCTGAGACTGAAGAGAACATGTTCTAGCAGGAGGACTAACTCTTATCTGATGAATATATCCAGCAGGGCGTTCTACAGTACAATCTCTCTCTCTCTCCCTCTCCCTCTCCCTCTCTCTCCTTCCCTCTCTTTTGCTATCAATTTAGGGAGGTCAAATATGGCTTTTTGTTTTCAAACAGACAGAGATACTCCTGTCTGTGAAGTTTGTACTGAATAATGTAGGAAGTGAAATGATGTCACTCCTTCTCTCGATTAGGATGTTTTGGAAAAACAAAGACACTTTGACACTGTTTCATAGTACGGAGGGAATAAATAATATATTGACTGCAGCTTTTTGTACACGAGAATAGGAAGTGCGAGACTTCAAAAGCGTGAATATACTTAAAGGCCCAATGCAGCCTTTTTTATCTCGACATCAAATCATTTCTGGGTAACAATTAAGTACCTTACTGTAATTTTTTTAAACTAAAAATGGCAAAATATAAACCAAAAGGGCTTCTTAGCAAAGAGCAATTTCTCAAGCAAGAATTTTTCTAGGACTGAGTGGGGAGGGGAAAACTGAAAACTAGCTGTTATTGTCATGGTGTCACGATCGTCTAGAACAGACGAGGACCAAGGCGCAGCGTTGCAGGCAAACATACTCTTTATTAAGAGACACGATCAAAACAACAAACGATACGTGACAGTTCACGGTCTACCATAAACAGACTAGAAACAAAATCCCACAAACACGAATGAAAAACAGACTGTTTAAATATGGCTCCCAATCAGAGACGACCAGCAACACCTGACACTCGTTGCCTCTGATTGGGAGCCACTCTGGCCAACATAGAAATAGCACCCATAGAAACAAAACACATTGATCTACACACCCTGGCTCAACATAACAGTGTCCCCAGACCCAGGGCGTGACACATGGTTTGGAACTCTCTTTTTATTGCTCTATCAACTAATTTACCACCTGTTGATGTCACCAGGCAGGCCAAAACCCCATCCCTCCAAAACAGGCTGATATTTCAGGTAGTCTTTTCAAATAGTTCTTACACAAAAATGGCATTATCATTATATTTAAAATTTCTCAGTATTATTCCAACCTCATTCTGTGGAAATGTATATAAAACACATGAAAATCACAAAAGCACGAGACCCCCTATCAACTCAGCTCAATCATATATCCCCCCTAACTATAGGAAGAGGAGAACACATAACACATTGACTTAACTAATGGCTGTTTGGGAGTCTCTCTCTTCCTTTCTTCTGCTTTTCTTTCTTATTTTCTTATTTCTTAAGAGATTAAAAACTATGTGGCTTCAATAGTTAGGTAGACGAAGGATAGAACGAGCGAGCAGAGGGGGCGACGAGACGGAGCGCATAGGGCGAGGATGGTGGGAGGAGTCGCGAGGAATCAAGCCACAACAGAGAACGCGAAACACCGGAAGGCATCTCCCCCACCCAGCGTAGTACCACCGTCCCCCCCGAGTTGAACAAGTGGAACCCTGGAGGAGATCTACGAAGGGATCCCGTTAATCTCCTGGTGACCCCTTGCACTTTGAGACTCGAGCCGTGTGGGTCACTAGGAGGCTAATCACGCTAGTTCTTTGGAATTCATCGGCCTGTGTAAGGCGCCACCCGATAGCTTGATGTTACCACGAGGCTAATGCTTGGAAGCATGTTCTATACCGGTATCTTGGACGGCGCCAGCACCAGCCGGTGTTCGCACTGGTGACTTCCAGCACTCGCAGACGGGGCGCGATTGTGGCAGTGGGCCGCATCAGGATCTAGGAGGAGGGGGGTGAGGGGCCTCCCCTACATCATCTTCCCTTTCACGCAGTCTGGCACAGGAGAGGAGGACGGCCTGGGCACTTGGAGGTTGAAGGACCCAGAGGGAGATGCTCTGTCGAGTGCGAGGGGCTGTAGGAACGGAGGGAGTGAATCGGAGCGACGGGGAGGTAGGGGTGGCCCCGTGATTTTGCCACGTAGGAGTCAGTACGGAGAGGAGGAGTCAGGATGATGGCGAAAGAGACCCCGAGGGAGGGCATCCTGCCTACCCAAGGGCGAGGAGGCCGGGAAGAGAAGGAGGCGATACAGCGTAAACGCGAGCCACCGTTGAAGGGTCCACCGCGGACCGCCGCTCGCTCTCCTTCTGAGGAGAGGGTGACTCAAGGAGGGGAGGGAGCAGGAGAGGTAGATTGATTGGGAGGAAGAAGAAAGGAGGGCGAGAGTAGAGGGGGGGGGGCAGAGGGGGGGGTCCTTATCTCTCCTAATGCGGGGGTGGGTTGGATTTGGGACGATGTCAAGAGTGTATGATTCAAGACGCCCTTTTTCAACTCGTCTGTGATTACGAGAAGGAGGGAGGAGGAGGGGCTTTCACCTTCCTACCTCCTTTCCGCGGGCGCCGACTGTTCATCAATCACTGTTACGCCCGCACACTTATGGTTTACCGATGGCAAGACCGGCGAGGGTGAGCCGAGCGCAGGGAGATGGAAGGGAGTAGGCGGGTAGCGCGTGTGCGGAGCCTTTGTGGCCTGGTGGTGTGGGCTGGTGCAGGGGGCGGTGGTGTCGTGTGAGGGGGCGGGGGGGGGGAGGAGGGGAGGACGGGAGGAGGGGAGGAGGGGAGGAAGGAGGAGGGGAAGGAACCAAAGGAGGGGAGGAAGGAGAGGAGAGGAGCGGAAGAAACGGAGGGGAGGGAGGAGGGGGGAAGGGCAGAAAGTGAGGGGAGGAGGGGGAGGAGAGGAGGAGGGGAGGCGGGGAGGAAGAAAGAGAAGGAGGAAGAAAAGGAGAATGGAGGGGTGAGGAGGATGATGTAGGTGAAAGAGGGAAGGGCTGCTGTGTGGCGAGACTACACTGTGTAGAAAAAAGGTGTACTTAGAAACCAGAAAGGGTTCTTCAGCTGTCCCATAAGAAGAACCTGTAATGAAGAACCTTTGGTTACAGGTAGAACCCCTTTTGGTTTCAGGTAGAACCCTTTTCACAGAGGGTTCCTAAAGTAACCCAAATGGGTTGCTATCTGTACCAAAAGAGCTCTCCTTCATCTGAAAGCTGACAGAGTACAGAAGAGGTGATGGGTGGAGTGGTGGTGGGTGTGGGGTGATAATAAGCAGTAGCAGGGTCTCAGTGCTTTGATCCGCCAGACGCGTGGGGAGGACTGAGGGAACAGCAGCATACAATGGACAGATAGAGAGGGGGCCCTGGTCGACTGTTCCTGGAAGAGTAAGGGAGTTGCCCAAGCTTGCAAACAGAAGGAACGCAAAGACAATTTAATGACCTATTTGACACTCTCTTCTCTCTCCTAGCTCTCTCGCTCTGCTCTCTCGCTCTCTTCTCTCTGCTCTCGTCTCCTCTCTCTCTCTCTCTCTATCTCTCTTGCAGTGATATATTTCTTACTTCGGAAGTTTTTCTAAAAACTCTCTGCTCTCGCAGCTGTACCACGTATACTACGGGAAGGGAGGGGGGCCTGAAAGTACCCACAATAGAGACCATAACATATCTCTCTCTCAGTTTTCCCCATGTTCTTATTTGTCTATGTGTGGATGTCTTCTTCATGGGGTCTGTTGAGAGGCTCTCACATGGATTTCTGTAGCTATGTGTTGAGAATATGTCTGGAATTAATATGAAAGCAGAAACATATTTTATTACTAGGGCAGCTGTTCTAAGTTTAGGTGTAACTTAAAATTGGTGTGTGTGTGTGTGTGTGTGTGTGTGTCTGTGTGTGTATCTATGTGTGGCTGTGTGTTTCCAATTCTTCACCGCATCCAAAACAATATGTGAATTTCTCCCCTTCTGATGGAAGTGTTTCAGTGAAAACACACATTGTCACGGTGACAGTCAGGAGGTCATCGCTCGACGGCGAGAGCTATCAATTCCGTGAAAACAGGAGTAGATTTGATACCGTCTCCATCCATCCTGTCCAAAACCTCTGCTTTTAGCCGTTCTTAAAACCCTCAGGTTAGAACCATCCTACGCCTACCATCTACTCACCTTCCTTCTAATCTACCCTCTGTCCTCCTGTCTGTAAACATCATCCTTACTGTCCTCTCCTGTCTGTCTGTCAACCCTACCTTCACTGTCCTCTTCTGTCTGTCTGTCTGTCAAACCCACCCTCACTGTCCTCTTTTGTCTGTCTGTCAACCTCGCCATTACTATCCTCTCATCTCCTGTCTGTCAACCCTATCTTTACTGTCCTCTTCTGTCTGTCTGACAACCCAACCTTCACTGTCCTCTCCTGTCTGTTAATTTCACTGTCCTCTTCTGTCTGTCTGACAACATCACCCTCACTGCCCTCTCCTGTCTGTCAACTTAACCCTCACTGTCCTCTTCTGTCTGTCTGTTAACTCCACCCTCACTGTCCTCACCTGTATGTCTGTCAACTTCACCAGCACTGTCCTCTCCAGTCTGTCTGTCAACTTCAACCTCAATGTCATTTTCTGTCTGTCAGTCAAGTTAAACCTCACTGTCCTCTCCTGTCTGTCTGTCAACTTCAACCTCACAGTCCTCTTCTGTCTCCATGTCTGTCAACTTTACCCTCACTGTCCTCTCAAGTCTGTCAATGTCAACCTCACAGTCATCTTCTGTCTGTCAGTCAACTTCACCCTCACTTTCCTTTTCTGTCTGTCAACTTCACCCTCATTGTCCTCTCCTGTCTGTCTGCCAACTTCACCCTCACTGTCCTCTCCTGTCTGTTCAACTTACCCTCACTGTCCTCTCCTGTCTGTCAACTTCACCCTTACTTTCCTCTTCTGTCTGTCAGTCAACCCTACCTTCCTCTCCTGTCAGTCTGTCAACTTACCCTCACTGTTATCTCCTGTTGGCCTGTCAACTTCACCCTCACTGTCCTCTCCTCTCTGTCAGTCAACTTCACCCTCACTTTCCTTTTCTGTCTGTCAACTTCACCCTCATTTTCCTCTCCTGTCTGTCTGTCAACCTCACTGTCCTCTCCTGTCTGTCTGTCAACCTCACCCTCACTGTCCTCTTCTGTCTGTCAGTCAAATTCACTCTCAGTGTCCTCTCATGTCTGTCAACCTCACCCACACTGTCCGCTCCTGTCTGTCAACCTCACCCTCACTGTCATCTCCTGTCTGTCAACTGACCCTCACTGTTTTCTCCTCTGTCTGTCAAATGTACCCTCTCTGTCCTCTCCTGTGTCTGTTAACTTAAACCTCACTGTCCTCTCCTGCCTGTCAACATCACCCTCACTGTCCTCTCCTGTCTGTCTGTCTGTCTGTCTGTCTGTCTGTCTGTCTGTCTGTCTGTCTGTCTGTCTGTCTGTCTGTCTGTCTGTCTGTCTGTCTGTCTGTCTGTCTGTCTGTCTGTCTGTCTGTCTGTCTGTCTGTCTGTCTGTCTGTCTGTCTGTCTGTATGTATGTCTGTCAACTGACCCTCACTGTCCTCTCCTGTCTGTCAACTTCACCCTCACTGTCCTCTAATGTCTGTCAACCTAACCCTCACTGTCCTCTCCTGTCTGTCTGTCAATTTCACCCACTGTCCTCTCCTCTCTGTCAAACTAACCCTCACTGTCCTCTTCTTTCTGTCTCTCAATTTCACCCTCACTGTCCTCTCCTATCTGTCTGTCAACTTCACCCTCACCGTCCTCTCCTGTCTTTCTGTCAATCCCACCCTCACTATACTCTATTGTATCAGGGCGAAGCTGGGAAAGAGCTCTACCTATCGACAGCGCGGGCAACGGAAGGGACGTAATCGAGAAAGAGAGAACTCGCCATGTCTGAGTAGAAGAGGACTAAGACGATCGACGGGAAGGAGAAGACAAACAACCTCTCCCGATATCTCTCTCTCTCTTCCAATCTCTCCCTCCCTCAACCCCTCTCTCTCTCCCTCAACCCCTCTCTCTTCCACTCTCTCCCTCCATCCCTTAATTTCAGACTGCACTTCTATTTCCTCAGTATTTCCTCTCCTCTCAGACAGACAAAGAGACAGAGCAATCATCATTTATCACGTTGCCCCGAGCTTTCGACAACGTTCAAAGGATGAGTTAGACCAGAGGCTAAGGGGCGTCTGCTGCAGAGAAAGGACCTGCTTATCTCTCTCTCTGTGTCTCTGTGCATGTGGAGAGACGAGGCTTGTAGGCGTATAGGAGAGAGAGTGTGAGAGAGAGAGACATAGAGATAAAGAGAGAGATTGTGTTAGAGATAGAGAGGTAATCATGTTTGGCCAGTAGGGTACATGAGTATTTATCTCCCTCACTAAGGCATCGTTTGTCTGCCGGTCTTGTCAGAAAGAGAGAGGGAGGCTGGAGGACTGGGTGAAATTAAAGGGTGTCTGTGTGTGTGTGTATGTGTGTTTGCGTGTGTTTGTGTGTGTGTGTTAGAGGGTATTTGTAGGTGTGTGGTGTGTTTGAGTCGTGTGTGAGGTTGAGTGTGGTGGTGAGTGTGTTTGAGTGTATGGTTGTTTGAGTGTGTTGTGTGTGTGTGGTTTGATGTGTTGTGTGTGTGTTTGCATGTGGTGTGGGTGGGTTGCTGTGGTTTGGTGTATGTGTGTGTGGGTTTGCGTGATGTGTGTGTGTGTGTGTGTGTGTGTGTGTGTGTGTGTTTGCTTAGTCTCTGCTGCCTGTCTCTTTACTATGACAACCCGACTTGGTCCAGTAACTGCTTGATTCAAAGACCCAAACCCAAAAGAAAAAGGTAGTGTTAGAAATAAGTCAAAGCACAAAGAAATGATCACAGACAGACAAACAGAGAGAGAGGAGAGAGGAGAGAGATGATGGAGGATTGGTGGAGAGAGAAAGAGGAAGCAAGAGAGACGAGAGAGAGAAGGAGAGAGAGAGAGAGAGAGAGAGAGAGAGGGAGAGAGAGAAGAGAGAGAGCGTGAGAGATGAAGGAGAGAGAGAGAGAGAGAGAGAGGAGAGAGAGAGAGAGAGATGTTTAGCTGAGTCGGGGCACGCTTGCAGAATGGATGACTGGGTCTGGAGAGAACATAACATGCAGTTATACTGTATCTATCTCACTCCCCTCCCTCTCTCTCTCTCTTAGCTGTAAATATTTACCTTGATCGTTTTTTAAAAGTGTGTCTAACCTCCCATAAAAATGTCTTGAAGACCAAGGGATATGGACTTTTGACGATCTCAAAGCAAAATAACGGGTTTGATGTCTAGTTAATTATTTTTTGTTGTTGCTGGAATGGCAACATCATGATAGGTGTGTACACCGATTGAGTAGTTGTGGTGGGAAAACACGCCACAGAGATTATTGTATTGACAATGGCTCTGAGATAACAGACCTCCGGACAACATGTAAAACGAATTCGAAAATCTCAAACTTCCATCTGCCTTTTTGGCCGTTTACCGCGAAAAAGGAGGTAAGACATCCAATGAACACGCCCCGAGCCTATCTGTTCTGTAAGGACTAGTGAAATCAGAGACCTACAGACACCTCTTCTGCTCCCTCTTCACCAGCCAATCACACAAAGCCATATCGGCTAACTGTTTATTGAACGGGGAGCTACGGGCGAGGAGCTTACTAGGTAGTGCGAGGAGCTTACACACACACACACACACACACACACACACACACACACACACACACACACACACACCTGTGCGCATGCATAACATTTACATTTTCGTCATTTAGCAGACACTCTTATCCAGAGCGACTTACAAATTGATGCATTCACCTTATGATAGCCAGTGGGACAACCACTTTTTTAAATTATTATTTTAAGGGGGGGGGGGGGATTACTTTATACTATTCCAGGTATTCCTTAATTCCTTAAAGAGGTTAGGGTTTCTAGTGTCTCCGGAAGGTGGTCAGTGACTCCGCTGTCCTGGAGTCGTGGGGAAGCTTGTTCCACCATTGGGGTGCCAGAGCAGCAAATAGCTTTGACTGGGCTGAGCGGGAACTGTGCTTCCGTAGAGGTAGGGGAGCTAGCAGGCCAGAGGTGGATGAACGTAGTGCCCTCGTTTGGGTGTAGGGTCTGATCAGAGCCTGAAGGTAAGGAGGTGCCGTTCCCCTCACAGCTACGTAGGCAAGCACCATGGTCTTGTAGTAGATGCGAGCCTCAACTGGAGGCCAGTGGAGTGTGCGGAGGAGCGGGGTGACATGAGAGAACTTGGGAAGGTCGAACACCAGACGGGCTGCAGCGTTCTGGATGAGTTGTAGGCAGGCAGACACGCATGCAAGCGCACACACACACAGGCTTTCCCCGTTAGGCATTCGGGGAGTGCGAGGGAGGTAGTCGATGAGGGTGCACCCTAACCCGTAATTACTCAAGAAATTACAATGCTTTTACAAGTGAGGGGGCAAAAAATCTATCATTGTTAAATTACTATCACTGAATGCAAATTGCAAGCGGGAGAATAAACATGTATTATCACATATTCGATCTCTCCTTGAAAGTATGCAGACTGAATAGAAATAAACTCGATGTTATCACTTGGATAAAATGACAAAATGCTCTCTGTTTTCTAACTCTGTTCAAACAGTAAAAGGAATTAATCAAGCATTTAACATATTTTCTGGTTAGCGTTGATCAGAGTCAATGACCACGGTTACATGCACACAATAATGTGATTATTGTAAATAGTCAGGTATATAAAATAGTTCACTTAAACGTTTACATGCTTTGCACTTCACTCACGCATAAGAGGGAGGCTTGGGCTACCCGGTGCAGGCACTACCCGGTGCTGGCACTACCCGGTGCTGGCACTACCCGGTGCTGGCACTACCCGGTGCAGGCACTACCCGGTGCTGGCTCTACCCAGTGCTGGCACTACCCGGTGCTGGCACTACCCGGTGCTGGCACATGTGCTTGAACGCCGAATAAGCTTTTTACATGTCCTAGTAATTCTGAAGATTGTCAGAAAACCAGGTGTTTTAATCGGCGTATGCTTACTTCGTTTATGACCTCATGCCGATTTAAGTTAAGCAGAGTAAGGTGTTTACATGACTAACGCCATACTCGGCCATAATCAGTTTAATACCTCATTTTTTGTGTGCATGTAAACGTATTTTGACTGCATGAAAACTAGCTCTTTAGGAAGGTCCTGAGAGCAAACATTGAACACTGGCACAAACTACAGCTAGTATTGATAATGATGTAGGCCTATTACACTGAGTGTACAAAACATTAAGAACACCTTCTAATATTGAGTTGCACCCCCTTTTGCCCTCAGAACAGCCTCAATTGGTCGGGGGCATTGACGCTACAAGGTGTCGAAGGCGTTCCACAGGGATGCTGGCCAATGTTGACTCCAACGGTTCCCACAGTTGTGTCAAGATGGCTGGATGTCCTTTGGGTGGTGGACCATTCTTGATACACACGGGAAACTGTTGATTGTGAAAAACTCAGCAGCGTTGCAGTTCTTGACACAAAACCGGTGCGCCTGGCACCTACTACCATACCCCGTTCAAAGGCAATTAAATATTTTGTCTTGCCCATTCACCCTCTGAATGGCACACATACACAATCCATGTCTCAATTGTCTCAAGGCTTACAAATCCTTTAACCTGTTTCCTCCCCTTCATCTACACCAGGGTTCTTCAATTCCGGTCCTGGAGGGCCGAAACACTTGCACTCACCTGGTGTCCCAGGTCTGAATTAGCCCCTGATTAGAAGGAGAGGATGAAAAACAGAGGTGTTTCGGCCCTCCAGGACCGGAATTGAAGAACTCTGATCTACACTGACCGAAGTGGATTTAACAAGTGATATCAATAAGGGATCATAGCTTTCACATGGATTCAACTGGTCAGTCAACGTCATGGAAAGAGCATGTTTGTACACTCAGTGTAAGATTGGTCTAATGGGTCAGATATAATTTAAGGGCGTAACACAAAGAGAAGACAAAGTCCTAAACGTGAGTCACTAAAATCCTGATTCTGACTGCAGGACTGCATTAAATACTGTTTTCAAGTCTGCTAGGCTAGCAAGATAGGTGCAGACTCCATACAACATTTAGTTAGGAGAAAATTGAACACAGCCTTGCTGTGTAGCCAAGAAAATAAGGAAATAACGAAGGAGAGAGAGAGAGAGAGAGAGAGAGGAGATGAGAGAGAGAGTGAGCCGTTTTGAGGAGGACGATCGAGACGACGACAGATCGAAGAGAAGAAGAGAGGGAGAGAGACGAGATGAGGAGAGCTGAGAGGAGGATGACGAGAGAGAAGATTGAGGAGAAATGAAGAAGAGATGGGCACGAGAGGAGAGAGAGAGAGATGAGAGACTTGGCGAGAAGAGAGCAGCAGAGAGGAGAGAGAGGAGAAGAGAGAGAGAGAGAGAGAGAAGGAGAGAGAGAGAGAGCGATAGAGAGAGAGAGAGAGAGAGAGGCAGATGAAAAAAGAAAAGAGGAGAGCTTGATGAAATGGTTTACTCTATCTGCATTTCACTGACCCCAACACAAACAAATGGGCAGGCCAAGACAAAGAGGACCGTGGTCGCTGGAGCTCTCTGGATTCAGAATAATCTTATTTCCAGTTATGGGGGAGATCGCTAGCAGCTAGTGTGCTATTGCCTGGTATGTCACAGGTTGAGGGAAGGGTAGAACGGGCCAACTGGGCCAACTTGCTCTGTTCTGACTACTGGATCTTTTGGACTTGAAACATCTCTCAGTTTTGATTCCGGAGAGCGATGACGTGGTTTATTTTGGTTGTTCTTTATTATCACCAATCAGATAAGATATTACATTTATCAGCTGTCTTTAAGCTCGTACAAGAAAGCCACATGTAAGAATACGCTAATGAAAAAATGTGCTAAAAAAACTTTGGGAGGCTTGTTGTGTTCAAATTAAAGCACTAAAAATTCATCATTCCAAGTCCTGCCTGTCTTCAGCTACGTCAGCCATTTTGGATCCCAGGCCTTCTATCAGTCCGGGGCTTTTTGCATAGCTAACCAGAACTAAGGAGTGGAGGATGGCTCTCAAACACTCTGGTGGCTCAACAAGATATCTTCACCAGTCTGAATTCATTGTTCCAACGTCCTGGACAACGGTATAATGTGGATGAGGTAAAAACTGACTTTCATCTCCCGACGTTTCTTTGGATCAAACGTGGGTTAATTAGGCACACAGAAACAACATTGATACGGTTTAAGTTTAGGCATTAATACCTACGGGAATTTAGTTAAAGTATTAAGGGTTTGGGATAGGGTTTAAAACAGAAAACAACTCTAGGGTTAAGTTAAGGCATTAATACCTACTGGCTAAGTAAGTATTAAGGTTGGGATAGGGTTAAAACAGAAACAACTCTAGGGTTAAGTTAAGGGCAAATACCTACTGGATTCAGTTAAGTATTAAGTTTGATAGGGGTTTAAAACAGAAAAACTCTAGGGTGAAGTTAAAGGCAAATAAATGTCAGACTGGTTAAGTTAAAGTGGAACTGACAGTATTTATTTTAACTACTTGGCAGATATAAACAAAAGACAATCATCATATCAGTCAAAAATACTACAATACCAGTTATGCTACAAAACCAACTTCATAAGAGGTGTTTAAAAAAATATATTCCATGACAATAGAGTAAGGCATTGTTGGCCAAATAGAGGAATGCAGTTCAATGTTGAATTCCTAATAGAATCACCACCAAGATATTTTCTTAGGCCCTAGTTCAAACAAATGTTGCTATCGGTTGGAAAAACCACAGCTGGCCTTGGTTACATGTGTCTGCAGCCATTTAGGACTGTTTCAGTTGTGACTCAATATTAAGGAAGAAAAAAAATGGACGGAAAGTAGTAACCAAGGATGGGAACGTCAACACAACAAACTAGCAATGATCAAAATCAGCATAATGGGCAATAGGCGAGCTTATCTATGTAGCTATTATAAGTAAGTAAAAAACACAGAGCCTAACGTTAGCTAGCTGCTGGGAGGAGTTGTCATTGGACGAGTGGGTTGAGTGACCGAACTTTTCCCCCCATATCGTTTTCTGTGGCTCAAACTAGAGAGCAGGTGTCATTTGTGTTATATACCAAGAAATGTGCAATCACGTTGCAGCGAGCTAGCTGAACTTGAACAAACTGTAATTCCATGGTTATTTTTCTAGGTGTTAATTTTATTTTTAGGGGGAAGATCAGCTTTAATGTTGCAGCATAGATTGTAACTGCCATCAATTGTAATGGTCGCATCACTTCTAATCCACCATATGTTTTTTTTCCTCAGCATATATATATATATATACATATATATTATATATATATATAATATATATATATACATATATAATATATATATATATATATAAATATATATATATAGATAATATATATATATATATATATATAATATATTATACATACGACCACAGACATACATTACAATGAGGGAAAAAAAAGATTTGATCCCTGTGATTTTGTACGTTTGCCAACTAACAAAGAATGATCTGCTATATAAATTTTATGCGTAGGTTTATTTGAACGTAAGAGACAGAATAACACAAAAAAATCAGAAAAACGCATGTCAAGACAAAATGTTCTAAATTTGATTTGCATTTAATAAGGGAAGGAAATAAGTATTTTGGGAAAAACCCCCCTCTCACCTCTCAATCAGAAAGAGTTCTGCTCCCAGTGTCTTTAACAAGTAACGAGCTGAGATTAGGGAGCACACTCTTAAGGGAGTTGAGTGCTCCTAATCCAGTTTGTACCTGATAAAAAGGGACACGGTCCACAGAAGCAATCAAGCAATCAGATTCAAAAATCTCCACCATGGCCAAGACCAAAGATGCTCCCATAGGGGGTCATGGGACAAGAGTTGTAGACCTACATCAAGGCTGGAATGGGCTACAGACCATCGCCAAGAGCTTGGTGAGAAGGTGACAACAGTGTGCGATGATCATTCACAAATGGAAGAAACACAAAAGGAACTGTCATCTCCCTAGGCGCCTGGGCTCCATGAAAGATCTCACCTAGGGAGTTGCCAATGATAATGAGAAACGGTGAGGAGAATCAGCCCAGAAAACTACACGGGAGGATCTGTCAATTGATATCAAGGCAGCTGGGACCCATAGTCACCAAGAAAACAGTGGTAACACACTACGCCGTGAGGTATCTGAAATCCTGCCAGCGCCCACAAGGTCCCCATGCTCAAGAAAGCCATATACAGGGCCGGTCTGAAGTTTGCCACTGAACATTGAATGATTCAGAGGAGAACTGGGGGGAAGTGTTGTGGTCGATGACACCAAAATCGAGCTCTTTGGCATCAATCAACTCGCCATGTTTGGAGGAGGTGGAATGCTGCCTATAGGGACCCCACGAACACCATCCCCACCATCAAAACAGGAGGATGGAAACATTATGCTTTGGGGGACGGACAACTTCACCGCATCAAAGGGGACGATGGAGGGGCCAGGTATCATCATCGGTGTGTGAGAAACCTCCTTCCCTTCAGCAAGGGCATTGAAAATGGTCGGGATGGGTATTCACAGCCATGCCAATGACCACAAAACACACGGCAAGGCAAACAAAAGAGTGACTCAAGAAGAAGCACATTAAGGTCTGGGAGTGGTTGTTTAGCCAGTCTCCAGACCTTAATCCCATAGAAAATTGTGGGAGGAGCTGAAGGTCGAGTTGCCAAACGTCAGCTTCGAACCCTTTAAGACCTGAGTGAGAAGAAAAGACCTGCAAAGAGGAGGGGACAAATCCCTCCTGAGAGTTTGCCAAACCTGGTGGCAAACTACAAGAAATGTCGACCTTGTGATGCAACAAGGGTTTTGCCCACCAAGTACAGTATACGTCATGTTTGCCGAGGGGTCAACTACTTATTTCCCTCATACCAATGCAAATCACTGTATAATTTTTGACATGCGTTGTTTCGGGATTGATTTGTTGTTTATTCTTATTCTTTATTTTTTTTATCTGTCTCTCACTGTTCAAATAAAACCTACATTAAAAATTATAGGAAGGATAATGTCTTGTCAGTGGGTAAACGTACAAAACTCAGCAGGGGTATGCAAATACTTTATCCCTCACTGTATATACATACATTATCCGATTTTTTGAAAACATATGTCCCCCTTTATTACTTCCAACACCCCACCACCCCGTGCCCTAATTGGAGTAAACTAGAGGAAAACCCCTTCAAAATGGGCCTTGGAGGCCAGTGGAGTGTGCGGAGGAGCGGGGGGTGACATGAGAGAACTTGGGAAGGTCGAACACCAGACGGGCTGCAGCGTTCTGGATGAGTTGTAGGCAGGCAGACACGCATGCAAGCGCACACACACACAGGCTTTCCCCGTTAGGCATTCGGGGAGTGCGAGGGAGGTAGTCGATGAGGGTGCACCCTAACCCGTAATTACTCAAGAAATTACAATGCTTTTACAAGTGAGGGGGCAAAAAATCTATCATTGTTAAATTACTATCACTGAATGCAAATTGCAAGCGGGAGAATAAACATGTATTATCACATATTCGATCTCTCCTTGAAAGTATGCAGACTGAATAGAAATAAACTCGATGTTATCACTTGGATAAAATGACAAAATGCTCTCTGTTTTCTAACTCTGTTCAAACAGTAAAAGGAATTAATCAAGCATTTAACATATTTTCTGGTTAGCGTTGATCAGAGTCAATGACCACGGTTACATGCACACAATAATGTGATTATTGTAAATAGTCAGGTATATAAAATAGTTCACTTAAAACGTTTACATGCTTTGCACTTCACTCACGCATAAGAGGGAGGCTTGGGCTACCCGGTGCAGGCACTACCCGGTGCTGGCACTACCCGGTGCTGGCACTACCCGGTGCTGGCACTACCCGGTGCAGGCACTACCCGGTGCTGGCTCTACCCAGTGCTGGCACTACCCGGTGCTGGCACTACCCGGTGCTGGCACATGTGCTTGAACGCCGAATAAGCTTTTTACATGTCCTAGTAATTCTGAAGATTGCTCAGAAAACCAGGTGTTTTAATCGGCGTATGCTTACTTCGTTTATGACCTCATGCCGATTAAGTTAAGCAGAGTAAGGTGTTTACATGACTAACGCCATACTCGGCCATAATCAGTTTAATACCTCATTTTTTGTGTGCATGTAAACGTATTTTGACTGCATGAAAACTAGCTCTTTAGGAAGGTCCTGAGAGCAAACATTGAACACTGGCACAAACTACAGCTAGTATTGATAATGATGTAGGCCTATTACACTGAGTGTACAAAACATTAAGAACACCTTCCTAATATTGAGTTGCACCCCCTTTTGCCCTCAGAACAGCCTCAATTGGTCGGGGCATTGACGCTACAAGGTGTCGAAGGCGTTCCACAGGGATGCTGGCCAATGTTGACTCCAACGGTTCCCACAGTTGTGTCAAGATGGCTGGATGTCCTTTGGGTGGTGGACCATTCTTGATACACACGGGAAACTGTTGATTGTGAAAAACTCAGCAGCGTTGCAGTTCTTGACACAAACCGGTGCGCCTGGCACCTACTACCATACCCCGTTCAAAGGCAATTAAATATTTTGTCTTGCCCATTCACCCTCTGAATGGCACACATACACAATCCATGTCTCAATTGTCTCAAGGCTTACAAATCCTTTAACCTGTTTCCTCCCCTTCATCTACACCAGGGTTCTTCAATTCCGGTCCTGGAGGGCCGAAACACTTGCACTCACCTGGTGTCCCAGGTCTGAATTAGCCCCTGATTAGAAGGAGAGGATGAAAAACAGAGGTGTTTCGGCCCTCCAGGACCGGAATTGAAGAACTCTGATCTACACTGACCGAAGTGGATTTAACAAGTGATATCAATAAGGGATCATAGCTTTCACATGGATTCAACTGGTCAGTCAACGTCATGGAAAGAGCATGTTGTACACTCAGTGTAGATTGGTCTAATGGGTCAGATATAATTTAAGGGCGTAACACAAAGAGAAGACAAAGTCCTAAACGTGAGTCACTAAAATCCTGATTCTGACTGCAGGACTGCATAATACTGTTTCAAGTCTGCTAGGCTAGCAAGATAGGTGCAGACCTCCATACAACATTTAGTTAGGAGAACAATTGAACCCATCCTTGCTTGTGTTAGCCAAGAAAATAAGGAAATAACGAAGGAGAGAGAGAGAGAGAGAGAGAGAGAGAGAGAGAGGAGAGGAGAGAGGAGAGAGAGAGGAGAGACGAGAGAGAGAGAGAGGAGAGAGAGAGAGGCAGAGAGAGAGAGAGAGAGAGAGAGAGAGAGAGAGAGAGAGAGAGAGAGAGAGAGAGATAGAGAGAGAGAGAGAGAGAGAGGCAGATGAAAAAAGAAAAGAGAGAGCTTGATGAAAATGGTTTACTCTATCTGCACTTTCACTGACCCCAACACAAACAAATGGGCAGGCAAGACAAGAGGACCGTGGTCGCCTGGAGCTCTCTGGATTCAGAAATAATCTTATTTCCAGTTATGGGAGATCGCTAGCAGCTAGTGTGCTATTGCCTGGTATGTCACAGGGTTGAGGAAGGGAGAAACGGGCCAACTGGGCCAACTTGCTCTGTTCTGACTACTGGATCTTTTGGACTTGAAACACTCTCAGTTTTGATTCCCTGTAGAGCGATACGTGGGTTTATTTTTGGTGTCTCTTTATTAATCACCAATCAGATAAGAAATATTACATTTATCAGCTGTCTTTAATGCAGTACAAGAAAGCCACATTTAATGAATACGTCTAATGAAAATGTGTAAAAAACTTTTGGGGAGGCTGTTTCAAATAAAGCACTAGAAATGTCATCATCCAAGTCCTGCCTGTCTTCAGCTACGTCAGCCATTTTGAATCCCAGGCCTTCTATCAGATCCTGTGGGCTTTTCTGCATAGCTAACCAGAACTAAGGAGTGGAGGATTGGCTCTCAAACACCTGGTGGCTCAACAAGATATCACAGTCTGACTTCATGTCCCAACGTCCTTGGACAAACGTCTATGTTTGATGAGTAAACTGACTTCATCTCCCGACGTTCTTTGACAAACGTGTTAAATTTAGGCACACAGAAACAACTCTACGGTTAAGTTAAGGCATTAATACCTACTGGATTAAGTTAAGTATTAAGGTTTGGGATAGGGTTAAAACAGAAACAACTCTAGGGTTAAGTTAAGGCATTAATACCTACTGGATTAAGTTAAGTATTAAGGTTTGGGATAGGGTTAAAACAGAAACAACTCTAGGGTTAAGTTAAGGCATTAATACCTACTGGATTAAGTTAAGTATTAAGGTTTGGGATAGGGTTAAAACAGAAACAACTCTAGGGTTAAGTTAAGGCATTAATTCAGACTGGTTAAGTTAAAGTGGAACTGACAGTATTTTAACTACTTTGCAGATATGAAACAAACAGACAATCATAATATCAGTCAAAAATAATACAATCCCAGTTTATGCTACAAAACCAACTTCATAAGAGGTTAAAAAAATATATTCCATGACATAGAGTAAGGCATTGTTGGCCAAATAGATGGATGCAGTTCAATGTATGATTAATATAATTCACCAAGATATTTCTTGGTAGTTCAACAAATGTTGCTATCAGGTTGTAAACCACAGCTGGCCTGGTACATTTGTGTCTGCAGCCATTTAGGATGTTTCAGTTGTGACTCAATATTAAGGAGAAAAAAAATGGACGGAAGTAACCAAGGCTGGGAACGTCAACACAACCAAACTAGCAATGATCAAAAGTCAGTCATAATGTGGCTAATAGGCTAGCTTATCTATGGTAGCTATTTATTAAGTAAGATAAAAACACAGAGCCTAACGTTAGCTAGCTGCTGGGAGGATGTTGTCATTGGACGAGTGGGTGAGTGACCGACTTTTTCCCCCCATATCGTTTTTCTGTGGCTCAACTAGAGACGCAGGTGTCATTTGGTTATCTACCAAGAAATGTGAATCACTTTGCTAGCTAGCTAGCTGAACTTGAACAACTGTAATTCATTGTTATTTTTCTATTTATTTTATTTTTAGGGGGAAGATCAGCTTTAATGTTGCAGATAGATTGTAACTTCCATCAATGTAATTGTCTGCATCACTTCCAATCCCCCATATGTTTTTTTCCTCACATAATATATATATATATATATATATATATATATATATATATATATATATACATATATATATATATATATATATATATATATATATATATATATATATATATATATATATATATATATATATATACATACATACACATACATACATACAATGAGGGAAAAAAGTATTTGATCCCCTGCTGATTTTGTACGTTTGCCAACTAACAAAGAAATGATCTGTCTATAATTTTTATGGTAGGTTTATTTGAACTGTAAGAGACAGAATAACAACAAAAAAATCCAGAAAAACGCATGTCAAAAATGTTATAAATTGATTTGCATTTTAATCAGGGAAATAAGTATTTGACCCCCTCTCAATCAGAAAGATTTCTGGCTCCCAGGTGTCTTTTATACAAGTAACGAGCTGAGATTAGGAGCACACTCTTAAAGGGAGTGCTCCTAATCTCAGTTTGTTACCTGTATAAAAGACACCTGTCCACAGAAGCAATCAATCAATCAGATTCAAAACTCTCCACCATGGCCAAGACCAAAGAGCTCTCCAGGGATGTCATGGACAAGATTGTAGACCTACACAAGGCTGGAATGGGCTACAAGACCATCGCCAAGCAGCTTGGTGAGAAGGTGACAACAGTTGGTGCGATTATTCACAAATGGAAGAAACACAAAAGAACTGTCAATCTCCCTCGGCCTGGGGCTCCATGCAAGATCTCACCTAGTGGAGTTGCAATGATAATGAGAACGGTGAGGAATCAGCCCAGAACTACACGGGAGGATCTTGTCAATGATCTCAAGGCAGCTGGGACCATAGTCACCAAGAAAACAATTGGTAACACACTACGCCGTGAAGGACTGAAATCCTGCAGCGCCCACAAGGTCCCCCTGCTCAAGAAAGCACATATACAGGCCCGTCTGAAGTTTGCCAATGAACATCTGAATGATTCAGAGGAGAACTGGGTGAAAGTGTTGTGGTCAGATGACACCAAAATCGAGCTCTTTGGCATCAACTCAACTCGCCATGTTTGGAGGAGGTGGAATGCTGCCTATGACCCCAAGAACACCATCCCCACCATCAAACATGGAGGTGGAAACATTATGCTTTGGGGGACAGGACAACTTCACCGCATCAAAGGGACGATGGACGGGGCCATGTATCATCAAATCTTGGGTGAGAACCTCCTTCCCTCAGCAAGGGCATTGAAAATGGGTCGTGGATGGGTATTCCAGCATGACAATGACCCAAAACACACGGCCAAGGCAACAAAGGAGTGACTCAAGAAGAAGCACATTAAGGTCTTGGAGTGGTTAGCCAGTCTCCAGACCTTAATCCCATAGAAAATCTGTGGAGGGAGCTGAAGGTTCGAGTTGCCAAACGTCAGCTTCGAACCCTTAATGACCTGGAGAAGACCTGCAAAGAGGAGCGGGACAAAATCCCTCCTGAGATGTTTGCAAACCTGGTGGCAAACTACAAGAAATGTCTGACCTCTGTGATTGCCAACAAGGGTTTTGCCACCAAGTACTAAGTCATGTTTGCAGAGGGGTCAAATACTTATTTCCCTCATTAAAATGCAAATCAATTTATAACATTTTTGACATGCGTTTTTCTGGATTTATTTGTTGTTATTCTTTATTCTTTATTTTTTTTATTCTGTCTCTCACTGTTCAAATAAACCTACCATTAAAATTATAGACTGATCATGTCTTTGTCAGTGGGTAAACGTACAAAATCAGCAGGGGATCAAATACTTTTATCCCTCACTGTATATACATACATATCCTATTTTTAAAATCTATTTCCCTTTATTACTTTCCAACCCCACCACCCCTTCCCTAATTGGAGTAAACTAGTGAACAACTATGCTTAGGCCTCTACTTTCAGCTTAAACGTACTGTATACATTTTATGGACACAGTCAATTTTACAAGAATTATATTTGTTTGTTTTTACTCCTGAACTTCCTCTACCCTCAACCTCTCCGATCATTTTCATGATGTCCATCTGGATTGCTTCTATATGCCATATCTTTCTAACTGTGCAATTTCACAAAAGCTCTCAACCTATATACTTATTCTGGACACAGTATGCTTACATTATTAGTTATCTTGTTGTTATTAGTTGTTGTTAGTTGTTATTAGTCCCATCCTCCAACTCCATTCAACACCACACATCTACAGTGGGGAAAAAAAGTATTTAGTCAGCCACCAATTGTGCAATTTCTCCCACTTCAAAAGATGAGAGAGGCCTGTAATTTTCATCATTGGTACACGTCAACTATGACAGACAAATTGAGATTTTTTTTCCCAGGAAATCACATTGTAGGATTTTTTATGAATTTATTTGCAAATTATGGTGGAAAATAAGTATTTGGTCAATAACAAAAGTTTCTCAATACTTTGTTATACTCCCCTTGTTTGCAATGACACAAGTCAAACGTTTTCTGTAAGTCTTCACAAGGTTTTCACACACTGTTGCTGGTATTTTGGCCCATTCCTCCATGCAGATCTCCTCTAGAGCAGTGATGTTTTGGGGCTGTCGCTGGGCAACACAGACTTTCAACTCCCTCCAAAGATTTTCTATGGGCTTGAGATCTGGAGACTGGCTAGGCCACTCCAGGACCTTGAAATGCTTCTTATGAAGCCACTCCTTCGTTGCCCGGGCGGTGTGTTTGGGATCATTGTCATGCTGAAAGACCCAGCCACGTTTCATCTTCAATGTCCTTGCTGATGGAAGGAGGTTTTCACTCAAAATCTCACGATACATGGCCCCATTAATTCTTTCCTTTACACGGATCGGTCGTCCTGGTCCCTTTGCAGAAAAATAGCCCCAAAGCATGATGTTTCCACCCCCATGCTTCACAGTAGGTATGGTGTTCTTTGGATGCAACTCAGCATTCTTTGTCCTCCAAACACGACGAGTTGAGTTTTTACCAAAAAGTTATATTTTGGTTTCATCTGACCATATGACATTCTCCCAATCCTCTTCTGGATCATCCAAATGCACTCTAGCAAACTTCAGACGAGCCTGGACATGTACTGGCTTAAGCAGGGGGACATGTCTTGCACTGCAGGATTTGAGTCCCTGGCGGCGTAGTGTGTTACTTATGGTAGGCTTTGTAACTTTGGTCCCAGCTCTCTGCAGGTCATTCACTATGTCCCCCCGTGTGTTTCTGGGATTTTTGCTCAACGTTCTTGTGATCATTTTGACCCCATGGGGTGAGATCTTGCGTAGAGCCCCAGATCGAGGGAGATTATCAGTGGTCTTGTATGTCTTCCATTTCCTAATAATTGCTCCCACAGTTGATTTCTTCAAACCAAGCTGCTTACCTATTGCAGATTCAGTCTTCCCAGCCTGGTGCAGGTCTACAATTTTGTTTCTGGTGTCCTTTGACGGCTCTTTGGTCTTGGCCATAGTGGAGTTTGGAGTGTGACTGTTTGAGGTTGTGGACAGGTGTCTTTTATACTGATAACAAGTTCAAACAGGTGCCATTAACACAGGTAACGAGTGGAGGACAGAGAAGCCTCTTAAAGAAAAAGTTACAGGTCTGTGAGAGCCAGAATTCTTGCTTGTTTGTAGGTGACCAAATACTTATTTTCCACCATAATTTGCAAATAAATTCATAAAAAATCCTACAATGTGATTTTCTGGATTTTTTCCCCTCAATTTGTCTGTCATAGTTGACGTGTACCTATGATGAAAATTACAGGCCTCTCTCATCTTTTTAAGTGGGAGAACTTGCACAATTGGTGGCTGACTAAATACTTTTTTTCCCCACTGTAAATCTTAACACCATCCATATTGGATTTCTATTTGCCATATATTTTTCAACTGTACTGTGATTTTTAAAAAAAGTTCTGAACCGTTCTATTCTCATAGTTTCTACAGATTGTAAATTGAAAATAAACATTTTTGCTAAAAGTATTATTATATTATTGATCGATTGACTATGAATTTTCAGATCACCCAGTAATGCTATCTGCAGGGTTAGCTCCAGGTAAATGTTGCAATCCTTTAGCCATTCTTGGACCTGTGTCCAAAAACAAGCTACAAATGGACAGTACCAAAACAATTGATATAATGATTCTGTCTCTTCGCAGCAAAATCTACAGAGCTGGGAAGATTGTATCCCCCGTATAAATAACATTCTATTTGTAGCAAGAATTTATATAATAATTTAAATTGAAAAATGCAAAGTTTTGAATCCGTGTCGTTTTGCTTATCAGTTTATAAACACTATGCCATGGGATCGGTACGTCAAAAATCTCTTCCCAACTATTTTGAAATCTATATGGGACGGCTGTCAATACTTTGGTCCTTAAATGAAACTGGTATACTTTTTTATTTATCACAGTTTTTCTTAACCAATTATGTTCTTTAATGCAAGGCCAACAGTCAAGTTCCTTACTTTTTCCCCCTTCCACTTTCCTCTTCCATTTTTGCGGTAATGCTGCAATTATTTGGTTGTAAGTTTGTTAGCTGCATGTGCGACATAACTCCACCAGTCCTACCGATGATATCATTTACGAAGATTATACCTTTTAATTTTTTTATTTTGTCAAATAAAAAAAGTTTTTATTAATTTGTATATTTGAGTTTAACCACAATATTTGTTGCATTATTTGTTCTGTCGTTTCTGGAGGATTAAATTGAAATTGCAACCAACTTTCTATGGCTTGTTTTAGAAATAGTGATATTTGGGAGATTATTTCCTTTTCAAATAACTGAACGTGAGAGGTTGTAATCTGAATAAAGGGAAAAATCCCGTTCTTGAACATTGGGTGAGACAATCTTACTAATTTGCTAGAGAACCAGTTCGGATTTAAGTATAACTTTTGTATGACTGAAGCTTTTAGTGATAGGTCTAATATTTTAATATTTAATAATTTCTGTCCTCCGAATTCATATTCATTATAGAAATAGTCCCATTTAATTTTGTCTGGCTTGCCGTTCCAAATAAAATGGAGAAAAAAAAATCTCATATAATTTTAAAAACTGTTCGCTAGGCGTAGGCAAGACCATAAGCAAATAGGTAAACTGGGATAATACTAAAGAGTTAATCAGGGTCATTTTTCCACAAATTGACAGGTATTTACCTTTCCATTTTTGCTAACTTTCTATTAAAATGTATTGGAGTGAGATCATTTATTTCATTTGGGATATGTATTCTGAGTATATCCACATCACCATCAAACCATTGTATTGGTAAACTACATGGTAATGTAAAAATTGTATTTTTTAGTGATCCAGTACGTAATATTTATCATAATTTGGTTGTAATCCAGAGAGGTTAGAAATTTATCTAGATCCTCTATGAGGCTGTGGAGGGATTCAAGTTGTGGATTTAAAGGAAAACATGAATCATCAGCGTACAATGACACCTTTGTTTTTAAGCCCTGGATTTCTAATCCCTTGATATTATTGTTGGATCTGATTTTAATAGCTAACATTTCGATGGCCATAATAAATAGATATGCCGATAGTGGACAACCTTGTTTCACTCCTCTTGACAGTTTAAATCTTTCTGAGAAATAGCCATTATTTACTATTGTACACCTAGGGTTACTATACATGATTTTAACCCATTTTATAAGAGATTATCCAAAATTGAAATACTCCAGGCATTTATATATAAACCCCAGTAGTATTTTATCAGATGTCTTTTCAAAGTCTGCTATGAATAGCAGGCCTGGTTTCCCAGATTTTTCATAGTATTCTATTATTTCCAGTACTTGGCTTATATTATCTCCAATGTATCTTCCATGTAAAAAAAACCTGTCTGATTAGAATGAATAATGTCCGACAACAGCTTTTTAATTCTATGAGCTATACATTTTGCTAGAATTTTTGCAACACAACACTGAAGTGTAAGGGGCCTCCAATTTATATTTTCTACTTGTATCCTGTTTTAGTATTAATGAAATCAGATCTACTTCTTGAATGTCTGATAATATACCATTTACATAGGAGAGGTTAAAACATGCTAATAACGGTCCTATGAGTATATCAAAAAAGGTTTGGTATACCTCGACTGGTATGCCTTCCAACCCTGGAGTTCTCCCTGACTTAAAGTCTTTAATTGCATCCAGAAGTTCCTCTGTAATTTCACCTTCACATGAGTCTTTCTGTATGGCTGTTAATTTTACATTATCAATAGAAAAAACATATCTAGAATTAGGTTTAGTTAGAGGAGATGGAGGCGGCTGAAACAAAAACATATGCTTAAAGTACTTTGTTTCCTCCTTCAAAATATCATTTGGTGAATCATGGGTGACTCCATTATTTGTAACCATTTTCAGTAAATTATTTTTGGTAGCATTCCTATGTTGAAGATTAAAAAATGATTTGGTTCATTTTTCCCCATATTCCATCCAGTTTGCTTAATTTTTATAATATATAACTCTTGATCTTTCTTGAATAAATTTCTCAATTTCTTTTAGTTTTTCCTCTAATTTATTCTGAGCCTCTATGTTACAGTTTTTATTGCTATCTCTCTGTTCTCTTAGACCTTCTATTTCCTTTGTTAGTATGCACTCTTTTGACCTAAATTGCTTTTGTTTTCGAGATGAGTACTGAATTGCACATTTAAAGGTGTCCCATACTATAAGGGGATTTGCTGTACCTACGTTATGTCGGAAAAAATCAGTTATAAATTCCTCTGTCCTAGTTAAAAACAAGTTATTATCCAATAGGCTTTGATTACATTTCCAGTATCCTCGCCCACGTGGAAATTCAGTAAGAGTAATGTATATGCCAATTACATGATGGTCCGACCGCATTCTGTCCCCTATCAACACTTTTTAAACTTTTGGTGCCAACGAGAATGACATAAGAAAGAAGTCAAGACGACTAGATGGACTGTTATCCATTGTTAGCATATCTCTTAGTTGTCAATCAAATGTATTTGGTATTGATCAAATGGGCGGTTAGACAAGTTCCCATTCAGTTGTCAAAACTTGACTTGGGACAAGCCCCATCATTTATCAGTGCAATTTTGACGCAACTAGCTGAAAAGGTTAGAGAGAGTTTATGTCACGTTCGTTTAAGGACGGGTCAGACCAAGCCGCAGCGTGATATGCATACATGTTTATTTACCGATAAACACACGACAAAACAACAAACCAAACAAAAACGTGATGTCCAAAGGCTGAACACAAAACTAGCCTAAACACGGAACAAGATCCCACAACTAACTAGTGCCCATAGGCTGCCTAAGTATGATCCCCAATCAGAGACAACGAGCGACAGCTGCCTCTGATTGGGAACCACACCGGCCAACATAGATCTATACATACTAGAACACAAACATAGAAAATACAACATAGAACATTCACACCCTGACTCAACATATAAGAGTTCCCTCGTCAGATTGTAGATTATCTCACTCTGGCTAACATTAGTTGTTGATCTTCTTGCTGTTGATGTGCATAGGCAACTGAGGGTGAGATAGCCTACCTTTTCATGGTTGTTTGATCAATAGGAGGGAGGTAGAGGGGAGAGAATCAGGGCTAGGCCAGCCCCGGGAGGGAGGTAGGGGGGAGAGAATCAGGGCTAGGCCAGCCCCGGGAGGGAGGTAGTGGGGAGAGAATCAGGGCTAGGCCAGCCCCGGGAGGGAGGTAGGGGGGAGAGAATCAGGGCTAGGCCAGCCCCGGGAGGGAGGTAGGGGGGAGAGAATCAGGGCTAGGCCAGCCCCAGGAGGGAGGTAGGGGGGAGAGAATCAGGGCTAGGCCAGCCCCGGGAGGGAGGTAGGGGGGAGAGAATCAGGGCTAGGCCAGCCCAAGGAGGGAGGTAGGGGGGAGAGAATCAGGGCTAGGCCAGCCCCGGGAGAGAGGTAGGGGGGGAGAGAATCAGGGCTAGGCCAGCCCCGGGAGGGAGGTAGGGGGGAGAGAATCAGGGCTAGGCCAGCCCCGGGAGGGAGGTAGGGGGGAGAGGATTAGGGCTAGGCCAGCCCCGGGAGGGAGGTAGGGGGGGAGAGAATCACGGGCTAGGCCAGCCCCGGGAGGGAGGTAGGGGGGAGAGAAGAGAACTCAGGGCTAGGCCAGCCCCCAGGAGGGAGGTAGGGGGGAGAGAATCAGGGCTATGGCCAGCCCCGGGATGGAGGTAGGGGTGAGAGAATCATGGGCTAGGCCAGCCCCGGGAGGGAAGGGTAGGGGGGAGAGAGAGAGAATCAGGGCTAGGCAGCCCCGGGAGGAGGTTATGGGGGAGATGGAAATCAGGGGCTTAGGCCATCCTCCGGGAGGAAGGGCTCCAGGACCAGGACAATCAAAGGGGAAGACCGGGGAAGCCACAAACTAACTGGAGTTGGAGCAATTTCCTAATATTTACTTTCATAACCCTCTCTCGAAACCTACTCCATAAATCCTCCCTCCCAATCCAAATAAAATAAACAACCTACACCTGTGTGTGTGTGTGTGGGTGTGTGTGTGGGTGTGTTGTGTGTTTGGTGTGTGTGTGGTTGTTGTGATGTGTGGTGTTGTGTGTGCTGTGTGTGAGTGTGGTGTGTGTGTGTGTGTGGTGTGTGGTGTGTGTTGTGTGTGTGTGTGTGTGTGTGTGTGTGTGTGTGTGTGTGTGTGTGTGTGTGTGTGTGTGTGTGTGTGTGGTGCATATACAACTGATGGGAAGAAATCGATACAGTTACGTATATATCGTATAGTTTTGACAATATCGCAATATTATTTTTGCGCTAGTTCAAGGTTAATCTGACATTTTTGTCAAAATGAGTTAGTCACATATAATAGATCTTTAGATAGTTCTTCATATGTCTGTGAAGTTAGATTTTTTTTGATGTGCATAAACCCATTTGAACTTGGCGCTATAAAGTTCTATTTGCAATCCGATCTTAAGCCTAAACAAATACAGACGGACCAATCAGACAGACAGAAAAGGAAAGTGAGGGTGAAGTTGACTGACAGAGAGGAGAGGACAGTGAGGGTGAAGTTGACTGACAGAGAGGAGAGGACAGTGAGGGTGAAGTTGACTGACAGAGAGGAGAGGACAGTGAGGGTGAAGTTGACTGACAGAGAGGAGAGGACAGTAAGGGTGAAGTTGACTGACAGAGAGGAGAGGACAGTGAGGGTGAAGTTGACAGGCCAACAGGAGAGAACAGTGAGGGTAAGTTGACAGACTGACAGGAGAGGAAGGTAGGGTTGACTGACAGACAGAAGAGGAAAGTAAGGGTGAAGTTGACAGACATGAGAGGACAGTGAGGGTAAGTTGAACAGACAGGAGAGGACAGTGAGGGTGAAGTTGGCAGACAGACAGGAGAGGACAATGAGGGTAAGTTGAACAGACAGGAGAGGACAGTGAGGGTGAAGTTGGCAGACAGAAAAGGAAAGTGAGGGTGAAGTTGACTGACAGACAGAAGATGACTGTGAGGTTGACATTGACAGACTTGAGAGGACAGTGAGGGTAAAGTTGACAGACATGGAGACAGAAGAGGACTGTGAGGTTGAAGTTGACCGACAGATAGGAGTGGACAGTGAGGGTGAAGTTGACAGACAGACAGGAGAGGACAGTGAGGTTTAACTTGACCTCTGTAACGGTCCTCTGTAGCTCAGCTGGTAGAGCACGGCGCTTGTAACGCCAAGGTAGTGGGTTCGAACCCCGGGACCACCCATACACAAAAAAATGTATGCACGCATGACTGTAAGTCGCTTTGGATAAAAGCGTCTGCTAAATGGCTTATTATTATTAATATATTATTATATGTCTTTGCCATGTCCCTCTTATTACACTACCAGTCAACATTTTGTACACACCTACTCATTCAAGGGTTTTTCTTTAGACATCAAAATTATGAAATAACACATATGGAATCATGTAGTAACCAAAAAAGTGTTAAACAATTGAAAAAGGGTTTTCTAATGATCAATTAGCATTTTAAAATGATAAACTTGGAATAGCAAACACAACATGCCATTGGAACACAGGATTGATGGTTGCTGATAATGTGCCTCTGTACGCCTATGTAGATATTCCATTAAAAATCAGCCGTTTCCAGCTACAATAGCCATTTACAACATTAACAATATCTACACTGTATTTCTGATCAATTTGATGTTATTTTAATGGACAAAATAATTGCTTTTCTTTCGAAAACAAGGACATTTCTAAGTGAGCCCAAACTTTTGAATGGTAGTGTATGGTCTAGGCTAGTTTAGCCAGCAATAATGGCACTGTCAGAAATCTTTAAAGTAAATGATGTCACATCGTAGCTCAGTACGACAGTAATTTGTCTGATGATCATAACACAGTTTTAAATGTTTTTGATGATGTGTCTGACTCAACCCACCCCCAACTGTCTCAGGATTTTGATACTCTGTACTGTAGGTACCTATAAGGTGAGGACCTTAATGGGTTATGAAATAATACATTCACCACAAAACAGTTCTCACATCTGCTCAATATGTCAGAACTATGCTTTGCGCATATATAATCTTATAGACCCAAGGTCTGAAGTTGGCTGAACCTAAACCAAAACTCCAGTAGTTTTCCTTCATAGCATCTTCTTTTTAAATAGGAAGCCAATTTGATTTCAGCACTTTTATTTCCATGACATACAGTGCCTTCAGAAAGTATTCACACCCCTTGACTATTTCCACATTTTGTTGTGATACAGCCTGAATTTAAAATTGATAAATTGAGATTTTGTGTCACTGGCCTACACACAATACCCCATAATGGAATTATGTTTTTAGATGTTTTTACAAATTAATAAAAAATTAAAAGCTGAAATGTCTTGAGTATTCAACCCCTATGTTATGGCAAGCCTAACTAAGTTCAGGAGTAAAAATGTGCTTAACAAATCACATAATAAATTGTATGGACACATTATGTGTGCTATAATAGTATTTAACATTACTTTTGAATGACTACCTCATCTCTGTACCCACACATACAATTATCTGTAAGGTCCCTCAGTCGAGCAGCGAATTTCAAAGAAAGATTCAACCATAAAGACCAGGGATGTTTTCCAATGCCTTGCAAAGTAGGGCACCTATTGGTAGATGGGTAAAAACAAACAAAAAAACTGACACTGAATATCCCTTTGAGCATGGTGAAGTTATTAATTACACTTTGGATAGTGTATCAATACACCCAGCCACTACAAAGATACAGGCATCCTTGCTAACTTAGTTGCTGGAGAGGAAGGAAACCGCTCAGGGATTTCAGCATGAGGCCAATAGTGATTTTAAAACAGTTAGAGTTTAATTGCTGTGATAGGAAAAAACTGAGGATGGATCAACCCATTGTAGTTACTCCAAAATACTAAACTACGTGACACAGTGAAAAGAAGAAAGCCTGTAGATAATAACAATAATTCCCAAACATGCATCCTGTTTGCAACAAGGCACTAAAGTAATACTGCAAATAATGTGGTAAATCAATTAACTTTCTGTCCTGAATACAAAGTGTTATGTTTGGGGCAAATCCAATGCAGAACATTACTGAGTACTACTCTCCATATTTTTAAGCATAGTGGTGGCTGCATCATCTTATGTCTGTGCTTGTAGTCGTTAAGGACTGGGGAGTTTTTCAGGATAGAAAATAAACGGAATGGAGCTAAGCACAGGCAAAATCCTAGAGGAAAAGCTGGTTCAGTCTGCTTTCCATCAGACACTGGGAGATGAATTCACCTTTCAGAAGGACAATAACCTAAAACACAAGGCCAAATCTACACTGGAGTTGCTTACCAAAAAGACAGTGAATGTTCCTGAGTGGCCGAGTTACAGTTTTGACTTAAATCTACTTGTAAATCTATGGCAAGACCTGAAAATGGTTGTCTAGCAATGATCAACAACCAATTTGACAGAGCTTGAAGAATTGTGGTCAAATGTTGCACAATCCAGGTGTGGAAAGCTCTTAGGGTGTTTCTCAATATGCATACTACCGTGCTCCACACTCTCATGCTCCGAGTGCATTCTCCGACCACGTTGTCTTGAGTATGTTCTTGTGAGGACGAGTGTGTGGAGAATGTATAAAACATTACATTTGAGAAGCACTCGCACTCCCCCTACTGTATTACCTCGCGCTTCACCTCCCCATTTACTGAACCTTCTTCCAAGATATACACAAAGCAACCGTTTTACTTCATAACTATCAGCTAGCTATATGTGAATCGTAATAATGTAGCTAACCAGATCGTTTATCAGGCAGAAATGACCTAAAACTAATATTATGCAAGTTAGATGTCAATTCTTCGTGGGTAGCTAGCTAACAATTCTTTGTGGCTATCTGGCTAGCTAACAGTACTAGTAGCTAGCCAGTTGGCCCTATTGACTTATTATGGGCTTGCGATCTACGGTAAGTAAGCGGGTAAACATGCCAAAATTAACACAGCATGTATTTATTAACGTATCAAGATAAAATATTGTAGTCAGGTAACATATGAGATGTGAATAGGCAACATTTCATTACAAAGTTGGAGTGTATTTTCTCTCGCTTGAGCTCAAATAATGTCTGCCATTGATTTCAAGAAATGTTGTGTAATTTTTACATGGTTGCATCATATTGCTTTGCATACTTTCCGTTGAACCTTTCATCGATGCATGCTTCAAATATGTACAAACCGAGTACGCATTCGAAAAGTGCCCTTCGTGCTTCGTTTTACATACTTTGATTTGGACTCATACTCCTACCCCTGCCATGGTTTCAATTTGCAATGGAAGTATGCATTTTGAGAAACACACTTAGAGACTTACCCAGAAAGACTCACAGCTGTAATCGCTGCCAAAGGTGCATCTACAAAGTATTCACTCAGGGGTGTGAATACTTATGGAAATGAGATATTTCAGTATTTTATTTTCAATAAATGTGCAAAAATGTCTAAAAAACTGTTTTCACTTTGTCATTATGGGGTATTGTGTGCAGATAGGTGAGAAAAAACATATATTTAATCATTTTTGAATTCAGGCTGTATTGCAATAAAATGTGGAATAAGTCAAGGGGTATGAATATTTTCTGAAAGCACTGTATATGGAGAGCAATATGTTTGGAACATAAATCGCAATAACATCACAGTATCGAATCACGGTACATATGCTGTAGAATCGTGAAAATCGCAATAAATATCTTATCGGCACCTAAGTATCTTGATAATATCGTATCGTGAGGTCCCTGGCAATTCCCAGCTCTAGCATATACCCTTTAAGACTGGGGGAATAGACTGGAGCAAGGGGCAGAGCATCATATCACCAGTTCACATCTGTTCTCACTTCAGTAAATAGGAATGCTTGGTAGCATAATAGTGTCCTTCATCCCACTGAGGGAAAGAACCACGCATGGGCTGTACTCATCCACTACTACTGATATTCTGACCAAACAGCCTTGTCAGTTGACCTTTGTAAACAGGTGATGTCCAGTGGGTCTAACAGAGGTCTTCAGATCTGAGAACATCAAAGAGTCACCATTGAAGAGGGCAAGGGAATGAATTGGGACCAACTCTTGTTCATTAACACAAGTTAACAGCTCAAAGGTCCTAGGTCAAAGGTTAGTGTTTGAGACGCCAGATGGGGATATTGGTTGGTACCTGTGGGGAAGTGTTCGTTGATTGGCCAGTTGTCCACCTGCAGGGTGGCGTTTCCCCCATTCCTTGTGAATCGCACCAGGTGGTATTTGCCGTCATTGATCGCAGTGGTTAACTCCTTCACACTGATGTCCACCGTGCCAATGTTGAACGTCACGCCCACCTTGCCTTCCGTCTGGAAGGAGAGGGAAGAAGAAAAATACATTTATTAAAATATATCAACAACTTTCTTGCTACAGGCAACCTGGAAAAGCAACATGCAGCAGGACGAAGAATCATTCATCCTGATCACATAATAACGAGTAGTTATTTGGGAGAAAAAGTGATCTGACTGCAATGTAGTTGACCTCAAACACGTACAACAAACAGGCCTTTATTAACCTGTATCAACCACTTTCATTCAGCAGGCAATCTTCAGGTGAACATTGATATTTCCGCATTGGTAAAACCTGTCAAAATGAGATGCCATATCTTACATATAGAATAGCAGAGATGCGCAGAACAATAGCATTTTCAATGCCTGGCCGAGAACCAATTCCATTATGAGCTTCATATCTACAATCAATGCAGAAATCTCCAATGCATTTGCAGAAGATGTCAACTGATTGCAGTGTTTGATTCAGTACTGCTGCGCCAACAACAAACAGCATGCAGTAGACTACACTACAGTAACAGAAAAAGTTCAACAACACTTTTAAACATTACTTTGTTAACCCACCTTTTCCCCCCATGTCCTCTCCCTGAGCTATGAATGAACTCCTAGAAACATACACTACCATACTTCTTACAATTAAATAACATATTGGCCATACATTCTACTACAGGTGGTGTGTCAGTATTGCCACGGTAACATAACCACTTGTTCCAATGTCTATACTACCATACAGTACCACGGAATAGTAGACAATATACGCTCTTAGAAATTCCAAAACGGTTCTTCGTGAATAGGTTCTACCTGGAACCCAAAAGGGCTCTCACATGGGGACAGATGAAGAACCCTTTTAGGAGTGTAGACTCCAATGAGATACCACAGAGTTGGTAGCTATACTAGCTAGCATCATGGTTCATTATCCATTAATGTGATGAGAGTTAGCTAGCAGCCAGGAACCAGGCACAATGTTCTCTCCAGCCTGTCAGTACCCAATGCCAGGACAGATGCCTCTCCCATATGTAGTAGCACATATTTTATTTAAACACAAAGTTAAGGGTTATGTCACTCTGAGAGAGTGAGAGAGCGAGAGAGCGAGAGCGAGAGAGAGAGGCATATCAGAACCTTGGTGGTTTCTCACCGCAAATTACTTTCTCACCAACTTGCTACTTTAAAACAACCTTTTGTTTGATCGGAGTTGCTTGGGTATTAAAAAAGCACGTAGGAGCTACATGGAAACGGTTTTAAAGTGAGAGAGTTTTCTCTCATTATAGTTCTGAGTGTGTTTTATCACGCAATGTTTCAGATTCAGAGACTCTCAGTGTGAGTGACTAAGGTAAGGAACCAGAGATATACTAGTGGTACTCCCATGGTTTACTAGACCAGGTGATCCCAATTATTTTAACTCGGGGACCCCCGTCCAGCATGGGGGAACATCCCCCCCCCCCCCCCCCCCCCCCCGCGCACATGTGCCATGTCTATTTCTATGGGCACAAGCACTGCTCATGACTAGGGCTGTTTTGGTGACCGTATTACCGCCACACCGATAGTCACGAGTCACGAAGGAAGTCAAATTCCACGTGACCATTTAGTCACGGTAATTAGGCTTCTCCAAGCGCTAATGCTGCTGATGGTCATTAGTAGCCTACCAAACTTGCTAACTGCCTGGTACTCAGCACTATATTGTCCCTCTAATCACTCAGACATCAATGCAACTGTTATCGAAAATCTAATCAAACACTTCAAGAGAGCGCATCAGCTCATGTGGCACAACATTTTATAGGCTATGCAATTGCGCAAGAAAACAGAGTGATGGCCTCTATTAAAAAGAGGAGGATCCCATCAGCTTTCTATAGGCTAGGCCTACTATATTTATTTATCAACTTTCCTAATATTAAGCACATTGCTTATCTTTACAACAGGAGTATAGCCTACCTGGCTGGCATGAAAATGAACCACAGGAAAGGCGTCCTCCATTCGCTATTTAAGTGCATATATTACATTTTTTCCCCTGCCCCTAGTACAGTGGTTCCCAAGGTGGTTCCAAACTGTGCCCCCCCCCCCCCCCCCCCCCCCCCCCCCCCCAGTTGTTATATTAATAATTTGGGATCTATCGCATCCCACAACTGTCCCAGACTATGTTTGGAATATTTATTTATCGCACAGGATAGAATAGGTCAACTTTTGTACTATGGGGGATAGTAGATTGACATAGGCTAGTGCTTTTGCTGTTCGTTAGGCCTACTCATCTTGTTGGCTAACGAAAAGTAAATGTGGACAGTTCTTCCCATATCTTCAATATGCACCTCGGAATTGGATAAGGACGCGCGCAGTTGCGTCCCCAATGTGTCTGTCATTCACTTGTAGCCTGTGATAAAGACCCGATCACATGAAGGAAAGCCATGTGAGTGAGAGGTGCTTCGGAGCATGCAGCACTTAGGGAGAAGGGAATTATAATTATTATATTTAGCCCAAGGGCAAAACGGCCACTGGCCGCAAAAGGCATGGATTTTTTTAGGGTGCATTACGGCCAAACAAAGGGGATGCTGCCGGGTATTTCGAGGAATTATCAAGTGCTTGTGAAATTGTGAATGAGAGACTGATGAATTGTGTTGAGCCTGCGCAAAAAACAAAGCAGAGCTCATGCCTTTCAAGCGACTTTTTTCTAATCATCATTAGAGTCGCATCATGCAGCCTTACAATGTATTAAAAATCTAAACATATTGCCTGACATTTGTAGAACAACTAAAGTTACATTAATTAATCTAAATGAAGCATATAGGAGTACCTATTTCTTTGTTAACCGCTCAACACAGAATAGCCGCATGTGCTAAATTAACTAGTGTAGCCCACAGCCGTATGGCATAGCCTGATCAGGACCTAACATAAGGACAACTCAGAGTATGCTATTCTGTTCTTCTGAAATAGACTACATTTTCTTCATATCATGTTTCTTTAGACCTGTCTAAAATAAATAATGGATTTCTGTGAAGGTGTAGGCTATATTACATGGATTTATTATACTTTTTAACATGTAAATGTTCCAAAGGTCTGCATCAGTGGCTTGCA